GTGCTGGGGGATTGAACCGCGGTCCCTGATGCTTTGCTAAGCTTGTTCTAAGTAGGTGCTTTAGACCACTGAGCCATCTCTCCAGCCCCTAGTTAATATTTTTCTTTCAAAATCAAAATTAATTGTATTTATTTTTATAGGGTCTCACTATGCAGCTTAGACTTGTAGTGATCCTCCTGTTTTCAGCCTTTCCAGCTCTGGGATTACAGGTGTGCACCACCATGCCCTGTCTCTGTAGTTGAATCCGATGTGCTGGGGATCGAACCCCGGTCCCTGTGCTTGTTTAAGCAGACACTTAGACTGCTGAGCTATCTCACTGGCCCTGAAAATTAATTTTACATAAAAATTTTGTAGTAAGTATTTAGGTGGTGTCCTAGCATAAAAATTATTTTTCTTATTCTAGAACATTTTTCCCCCATGAAGAAGAGTTTTATTTATTTATTTTTTAATTCTAGAATATTTTAAAGTTTTTTGAGGGTAAAAGATAATTTAATAATTATGATTTCTAATTATAAATCTTGGTTTCTAAAACTTAATTTCTAAGACTTAAGTTCTAATTGGTTAAGAAATTCTTTTCAGCTACTTATTATGAAATTTTGAATATTTCTAAAACTTTCTGTAATTGAAAATTGGAAAACATTAATTTAAAAAATAATTTTTATTGATCAAATTGAACTTATTAATGATTTAATGTGGTTGTGGTTAAGAGCAGAGGACTTAATGAGCTAAGATAAAATAATCAGTGACAAATGGGTTGAAACTTTTCATTTAGCATAGGGAAACATGTCTTTATTTATTTATTTTGATACAGGGTCTTGCCTATGCAGTTCCAACTCGTAGTATCCTCCTGTCTCAGCCTCCCTAATGCTGGGATTACAGGCATGTGCCACCACGCCTGGTTCTGTGGCTTCCACGGTGTGCCTGGGGCTCCAGAGACAGCACAGCATGTGGTACCAGAGATTGAACTCGGTACTTGCCAGGCAGGTGCTTATGCTGCCGAGCTATCTCCCCAGCCTGGAAAATATGTTTTTAAATGACCCTGTTTTTTTTTTTTTTCCCCAAATATTTAAAGTGGAATGAAATGGATGAGTTTTTAATACTGCTTTGCTTCAGAGCTTAGAAAACTATCTGGTGCCATTTCTATCTTTGAGACCTAGCTTTCACCATACTAATTATTAGAGAACAGCTCAGATCACAAACAAATTTTCTATACACTTTTTTTTAAATAGAAAACTGAGGTCAGGTAGTACCTCCTCTCCTGATGGGAGGAAAAGGACTGCTCAACAGCTGCAGCTCTTATTTATATATTCAGCAAGTTGATGTCACGTGACACACTAGCAACCTGCGTGCTTGGTGTGCCTTGGGCTGTCTCTGAACTGAAACAGCTTTTTTGCCTGCCTTGCCTGGGACAGGTGCTTTTTGTTCTTGAGGCAGCCTTGCTCCAGCCCTGTGTATGTGATCTATCTCCAGTTTCAGCCACTCCCCGTATCTCCTCCTTTTTTGTAGTTGCAAGCAATGGTGGTCAGTTGAAGTTGGAGGAACTGTGCCTGGAGGGTTCTGTAGAAGACCCTCTCATTCTTATTTATTTATTTGGTACAAAGTCTCACTATGCAGCTCAGATTCATAGTGATCCTCCTGTCTCAGCCTTCCTAGTGCTGGGATTACAGGTGTGTGTCACCATGCCCAGTTTCAGTGGCCAGCAGGGCATGCCTGGAGTTCCGGGGCCTGCCTGGCGTGTGGTACAGGGGCTAGAACCCGGGTCCTTGCACTTGCCAGGCAGGCACTTAGACTGCTGAGCTGTCTCCCCATCCCAACCCTCTCATTCTTGAAGACTTTCCATTCTGAGTGAATGTATTCATTTAGTCTAAAGATTCCTAGTTCAAGAATTTCAGGTCCCAAGAATTTCAGCAATTTAACACTATGTATCCCATTAACCCATAACAGTAATCAGTTACCAGTATAGCTGGAAATTATCAGAATGTATTAATGATTTGAGTTTCTTTTAAAGCTAGCATATTACTATGATACTGTTTTATACCTTGTAGTTATATTTTTCTGTTGGATGCTTAAGACCAAGTTAAAGTATGATCTGTGTTAATTAAAATTACTTTTTTTCTCTCTATCAAAGTCAATTAAGTCTCTTCAGGATTTACTTGGAAAAAGGAAAAAGAGGATTTACTTGGGAACCATGTACAGGACTTCTTAGTTCTTTTGTCAGTGTCAGTCATCTGCATGAGTCATGGCCATTGCTTGACCAAGCTGCTGTCTGTGAAAGCTTGGGAGACTCTCATGTGACGTTCCTTAGGTCCACTATACATAATCACCTTCCTCTGTGGTCCCATAACCACCTTGGTCAGAAGGCCAGGGATCCAGCATATTTTTGACCATCAGTAATGCTTATCTCGCCACACTGGCCATCATGAGACCTCTGGCTTTCCACCTGCTTGTTTCACCTTCACAGTGGTTTTTGAAAAGATGAAATGTGTATAAGTTTTATAGAGCTGCTTTCTCCCCAATGAACACACAGAATCCAGAATTAATTAGAATGAGCCATCGATAAACATCTTCATTTTAAACTGAATGTGGCTAAAAAGCACTTGAACTCATAGTTTACTGTTTAAACTTATATAGTGACAAATAAGATTCACAAGTAGCTATTCAGAGCTTTCTCATACTTTTCTCCAGCCGCCCTTGCCTTTCCCCCAGGTAATAAGGTCTACAAGCACAATGGTAATTTGATATGAATTGTGAGCCCTATTTTGATCTTTTACCAAGGACTGGAAATAAACTTGAACAGACATTTGGACTTTTATGGACTCTTTATTAGGCTATTAAGATATTGGAAATAACGCATACTAATCATAAAAGAGCAATATTAAAATTTCTCAAAGCATGCATGGTGACATGAACTGTTTTTTTTCAAGTTTTATAATTAATTATCTTACAAGTTGATACAAAGAGTGAGATTACTATGAGTTAAGTTGTTCATAAGCAGTGTACAATCTGTTGTATATATTGACTTAAAGTTTTATTTCCTAAGTTAGTATTAAATGCCTTATACTTATATATTGTCACTAAGCAATTACTCTCATTTTCTTCTCATACATGCAAACATTTTGCTATATATGCCTACCAGTGTCGTGGTTGTATATATTTTATAAGTGGTTAGAACAGAGGAAGATGCTTGAAAGTTTGAGTTCTTTCAATCTTAATTCAAAACAGGAGATTTTCGTCTATGTCTTCTGTAAAAACAAAAACAAAAACAAAAAATGCACACTTTGAGAAAGTCAAAGAAATAGTAGCATAAACAAACAATGTTAGAACTAGGTGATCAGAGAAGCCTTCTACTATGTCAAAGTACAGTGTTGACTGTTAACCCTGGTGCGGCATCAGTATTACCAATGATCCTTGAAAAGTATGCATTCTTGGGCCTTATCCCTGACCTCTAGAAATAGAATCTCAAGTACTGGACCAATGGCATGTAGACACATAGACATCCCTGCAGGAACTGCTGGTGCAAGGTGACAGGAAAGGCAGGTGATGAGAAGGCCCAGCCAGGTATGTTCACGTAAGGGTAGTTAAAATACAACAGAAAAAGGCAAAGTATAGTGCTAGTTAAATCAAGCTTCCAATTGTGTGACTTGTAGAAGAACTTGCTGCCATCCCATGGAAGACTACAGCATCCTCTAATGGTCTTTATTTTTTTTTATTTTTTTTTAAATTTTATTTATTTATTTATGTGTGTGTGTGTGAGTGTGTGTGTGTGGCCAGCTCAGCCCACCAGGGGGCGGGGCTGGCTGGCTGGCATGTGGTGCTAGGGGATTGAACCGTGGTCTATGCTTTGCTAAACTTGTTCTAAGTAGGTGCTTTAGACCACTGAGCCACCTCACCAGCCCCTCTAATGGTCTTTAGACTACTCCTTACAGCATAGCTCACCCAGATGTACTTGGATGTGTTCTGTCAATAACTGTTAAATATCTACAGTGGATTAATGTGAGGCATACTAAACAGCTACTCTGTCTAGGGAGCAGGTACTCTTCCTGCCAAATATAATTATCTAGTCAAAACAGTGGGAAGATTGTAGACTTTGATATATTTTTTCTTCAGTTTTTTTTTTTTTTTTTTTTTTTTTCAGAATTGGGGATTGAACTCAGGCCCTTGCGCTTGCCAGGCAAGTGCTTGTTCTACAGAGCTATCTCCCCAGCCCTGATATATTTTTTTCTTGAGTACTGGCTTCATTATTAAAATGGGCATACTCATTTTATTACTTATAAGGTTTTTGAGAGCTATAAGGGTTTACTAGGCAAAATTTGAAGTGCACACTCAAAGAAAATAGAAATGGATCCCAGCTCTCCCTGGCCCCACAAGTTTATACGTGATCACTAATTTTGGGGCTGTTTCTGAGCTGTCCTTTCTATCAGCCTAGAGCTAATTACTCTGCTGGTGCTTAAGATCTCTTCTGAACTTAGGATTCTCTTTCTAATTCCGAGTTCCTTATATTCTCAGCATTTCCTTTTTGACTAGACCCATCCATCCCTTGGCATTTAAACACTAAATCTGACCTCAAGAACAGTGTCTATGGAAACAAAGGATCAGAAAAGTGGATGTTGAGTGATGAATAGATAAAGGAATGAATGGTCAAACCTCTTTCTAAAAAAAATGCTTCCTGCATTCAAGCATTGACTCTGCATTGTTTTTCCTCTCCCTTCCTTTCTCAGCCAGTGGAATCTGTTTTCCATCTGGACCAATCTACCAAAACTGCTCTTAGCAAAGCCACCAGATATCTTATTTCCACATCCAAATAGCATTCTCATTCTTTCATCCTCCTTGGCATGTAAGCAGCATTAGGCACTGTCACTATCTTCTTTTTTGGAATACCCACTTTGATGTGCAATTCTCCCAGTTGTCTCCCTTTATTTCTGGAGAGACCCCCCCCCCAACCCCTTCTTCCTGTCCATTGCCGAGATGCTGGTGTTCAGCTCTAGACGCTCATATAACTTCTCATTCCTTTCCCTAGTGTCCATTATTCTGTGTGTTCACAATCCCAAGTATTTATTTCATAATCCCAAGTATTTATTTCAGTTCTAAAACTGTCTTGAGATGTAGGCCAACACTGTACTGCTCCTTCTCTGTCAACTGTCTGATCTCCCCATCCCACATTTACCATGGGAACTTGACTTCTTACATGCTGTACGTACTGTATACTTGCCTTCTACATGCCGTATACTTGCAGTTATTTATTAAATATTTATATATTTGTTGTCTTTTTGATATGGGGTTTCACTGTGCAGTTCAGGCTGGCCTTGAATTCACTTTGTAGCCCAAGCAGGCCTCAAATTCAGAGCGATCCTCCTGCCTCTGCCTCCCAAGTGCTGGGATTACAGGTATGTGCACCATGCCCAGCCCAGTTGCTTGTATTTAAATATCTTAAATGTGTTACATTGCTGTCTCCTCTAGTCACTCTGCTATTGAAGTTCTCTTCAGTTCTTGCCTGGTTTTATCACAGTGTCCTCTCAACTGCTCTCTGGCCTTTCCACAGTAGAGCCACAGAAGTCTGTGCTCACAAAAAACTCACTCCCTTGCTTGGCAATTCCTCAGCACTCTTCAGAGAGTGTCTCTGAATGGCTTCGAAGGACTTGCATTGTCTGACTTATTCATGTTAGCAGTATTAGTTAGAAGCTTCTTAAAGATTAACATGGGTAGATGTCAGTACACAGTATGTCCTGGGTACTAAGTAAGTCCCCAACCATTCTATTGAACCCCATTATTAAAGTAAAGAAGATGAGACACACTGAGAATAAGTGGCTTGCCTAGGGCACATAGCTAATGACAAAACCGAAATATTTGAACACTTCTAGTTCAGGTCCTGGACCGTTAGGACTCAGGAAAATACTGGTTCTCATTTTTATGGGTTTCTCAGCCCACAGGCAGAGAGAGAATCTGATGTTTTCTAATTAAATTATTATCATTGACATTATTATTATTTTGCTTTCCCTATCTGTATCCCTTGTTTACTTATTCTGATTAAGTGTTTAATATCTGTGTTATTGGTTTATTACGTGATAATTCTTTCCTTTCTTCAGAATAACCTAATGACAGCCAAACCACAGAGTACAAACAAGATCATTAGCAGCTTTGCAAGGCAGTGGCTTCTAAGCCCTTCCTGCTCTTCTCAGACAGCACCCACCACGGAGCCCCATGAGCTCATAGGCTGAAGAGCTGCCAGCTGTTTTGCGAAAGCAATGGCCAAGAGCAGCTGGTTTCTCAAATAAGCAGCCTTCATTCAAATTTGCCTTTCTTTAGGTCTTTAAAATTACATGTCCTGGCAGGCATGGTGATGTATGCTTGTAATCCCAGCACTTAGAAGGTTGAGGCAGGAGGATCCTGCCTCAAAGTTTGAGGCCAGCTTGGACTACATAGTGAGATTAAGGACAGAATGAACTACATAGCGAGACCCTGACTCAGAACAAGCAAACAATAAAATAAAATAAAATAACATGTCCTATGCAAGGGCATAGGCAGGAATGTCCCACCCAGCTTAAGTTCACCCTTTTGATAATGGTGGGAGGAGGTAGGGTGTGGGGCAGCTCTTTTTGATACCCTTTGTTTTTTAAATAGGGGAGTTGGGAAAAAGTTTTAGCCATTTTTAGGAGGTTTATTTAAATTTTTGTAAGTATGCTATTATAGAATAGATACTAGAAAAGAAATTAACATTCTAGAAAAGAAATTAACATTTTTATGTGTCTGTACCTTAATAGTTTATAATTTCACTTTAGGGCTAACAAGAGCCAGCCTCCAGGATGATTTTCATGATCTCCCACATCCATTGTAACTAACACAGTATGGCAGAATTAATAGTATGGGCTTCAGTCTGTCTGTCTGTCTGTCTGTCTGTCTGTCTCTCTCTCTCTCTCTCTCTCTCCGTCTCCCCCCCCCCCCCCCCAGATTCCTGACCCTTGAGACTGTGAGGGAGATTTCAAGCTGCTAAATTTGGAGTAATTTGTTATGCAGGATCAGCAGCTAATACGTAAAACTAAGTGCTTACAAAAATATATGCCGTTCATTATAACTATGTTCATTTCACAGAATATTTTACAGGAAAGGGACTAGTCATTTCTGCAGAACTATTTATAAATAAATATGGCCTCATGCTCTCAGTTCTTTCTTTCAAGACACTATTATTTACTGCCATGAAGACTTTTTTAAAGTGAAACTCATGCAGATCACTTTTTCTTGGAAAAAATTTGACCTTTCGTTAACTTACTTACTGTCTCCTTCCTTCCTTCCTTCCTTCCCTTCCTTCCTTCCTTCCTTCCTTCCTTCCTTCCTTCCTTCCTTCCTTCCTTTCTTTCTTTCTTTCTTTCTTTCTTTCTTTCTTTCTTTCTTTCTTTCTTTCTTTTCTTTCTTTTCTTTCTTTTTCTTTCCTT